GCCCAGCAGCAGCAGTCATTGTTTAATATCATGGAACCTCTGGTTGGTGGTCACATTTCAGGGGAGGTTTGAAGCCGCCTGTTCTGGGTCCCAGGGAGGCTGGAGTCCCCAGATTCCTTAGCATCCCAGCAGAGGGCGGGTGTGTGTGGGGGGGACTCCCAGGTGCTCATTCCTTTGAGGGCCACCTTCATGGCTGCTTGTGGCCCTGATTGTGCCCCTGCCCCTAAGTGTAGGGTTCCTGGACTGCTCAAGCATTGCTGGCCCAGGTCAAGAGACAGACTCAGAGAAGTCGTGCTACCTGCCTAAGGTAGCCCAGCAGAGACTAGCTGATCCAAGGAGTGTGGATCCTGCCTGGAGGGTGGTGACACAGGCGGGGACTCTCGGGTGGCACGTGGGCTCTGCCCACAGCCTCGCATTGCTCTTGGAATCATCCGGCCCCTTCATTCCTCCCGGCACCTGATTTGGTGACTCGAGTGTATTCAACACAGCCCTGGGTGTGTTTTCTAAAACACTCACAATAAAAAAAACCTGTGTCCGAGGACTGAAACCCTAAATGCCATCCATCCTCCTGGTCCACGTGCTCAGGGCTCAGAGCAGGCTGTTGCTTCCTTGGAGCTACGTGGCGCGCGCCTGCCATCCCAGGGGCTCGGGAGGCCGAGGCAGGAGGATCGCGAGTCCAAAGCCAGCCTCAGCCAAAGCGAGGCCCTGAGCAACTCAGGGAGGCCCTGACTCTCCATAAAATACCAAATAGGGCTGGGGACGGGGCTCAGGGGTCGAGGGCACCCACCCCCCCCTAAAAAAAAGAAGAAGGAGGGGTGGGCACAGAGGTGACACCAGGTTCCAGAGACGCCCTGGCTCCCAATGCCAAACACTGTCCCTTTCCCCAACCTGGATAAATACCCAGCCCGCTGTGGTCACTGGGCGGGGACAAAGGTCCAGAAAGGTGGCCCTATTGCAGGCAGACCCTCTGTTGACTCTCCTGGAACACGGGACTAACATGGCCTTTGGCTTCAGAGAACACATTGTCCTCCTCTCCTCTCCACGAACATCTTCTGAGCCCCTCCTGGGCGCCGGGTGTCACACTGGGGACTGGGGACACATGGAGCGCCCTGTCTAGTGGGAAGACAGGGGGCATTAGCCGAGCGTCCCCAAGGTGGTGAGTGACCCAGGTGGGGACTGAAGGGGCCATGGGGGGTGTAGGGCAGGAGAGCGCGTCCCAATTGGCCAACGGGGTCCCGACGTGTGACCCTCGGGATGGTTGGGGGATTGAGGCGGCCACACGCATTGGGTGCTGTGGGATCTTGGGTGAGCTCGTCCCTGCCCAAGAGGTGGGACCTCGTCCACCATGGTGGCTGAGTCTCAGGAGTCCTGGGGAGGGTCTTGTTCAAGCTTGTCCCCGGTGTGTGTGGGGGGGAAAGGTGACAATCAGATGGGGAAACTGAGTCCTCTGAGGACAGGTACTTACTGTCCTTGAACTTTTCTGCCTCCAAACCAGTTTTCCCAGTTAAAAATAGACCCCGCCCGGGGGCACGCCTGTCATCCCAGCAGCTGGGGAGGCTGGGGCAGGAGGATGGCAAGTGGGAGGCCAGCCTCAGCCACTCAGCGAGGCCCTGAGCCACTCAGGGAGACCCTGTCTCTAAATAAAATAGAAAAAAAGAGCTGGGGACAGTCCCTGGTACCAAAAAATAAAATAAACTAAATATCAGCTCGAGTCATATTTAAAAACAACTTATATAAAGTAGATGATTTAAAAAAAAAAATCTGAAGTGGACGCCTGATGGGCACCTTGCGTTTTTATTCGCTGGATCTGGCAACCCACGGAAGGCCAGAGAAGGCTTGGGGTCAGAGAGCAAGTGGCCCCGTCCCATCCCCCCTCCTGTGACCCAACAGAGGTGACACTGAGGTTCAGGTCCTACGATGGGCAGTGGCCCTCCGAGTCCTGGCCAGTTCTGGGGACCCAGAGCCCCTGATGGCGTCCCCTCCAACGTGGTTCCTCCCGCACCGACGCACACGTGGACTCTTTTCCAGGATCTTTCTGGAAAATTCCGTCTGGAACCAGAGCGGCCCGGGTTGTGCAACGGGGCTCCGAGGGCTCTTTTGCAAACTTGGTGGCAGCGTTTCAGAGGACGCTCTTGCAGGCCCCTGTCCCTGGGGGTGAGGCAGGAGCCTGGCATTCGGCAGCTGGGAGCCGGGCAGGCGACCCAGGGTGGGGACAAGCCCCGCCAGGGGCCGTGAGCCACCGTCCTGACTCTCTTTCCTCCTTCACAGCGGCCACCAGCGCGGCCCGGCCAGCATGGTGGACCACCTGCTGCCGGTGGACGAGACCTTCTCGTCGCCCAAGTGCCCCGTGGGGTACCTGGGGGACAGGCTGGCCAGCCAGCGGCCCTACCACATGCTGCCGTCGCCCCTTTCCGAGGACGACAGTGACGTGTCCAGCCCATGCTCCTGCGCCAGCCCCGACTCCCAGTCCCTCTGCTCCTGCTACGGCGGTGGCCCCGGTGCCGAGGGACAGGACAGCATCTTGGATTTCTTGCTCTCCCAGGCCACCCTGGGCGGCGGCGGCGGTGGTGGTGGCGGCGGTGGCAGCGCAAGCCTGGGGGACAGCAGTGGCCCTGTGACCTGGGGGACGTGGCGGAGGGCCCCGGTGCCCGTGAAGGGGGAGCACATTTGCTTCCCAGAGTTCGCGCTGGGGGACCCCGAGGAGGTGGCCAGGCCCTTCCAACCCACCCTGGAGGAGATCCAGGAGTTTCTGGAGGAGAACATGGAGCCGGAGGCCAAGGGGGC